GGAATACTGGCGTTTTTGGCAGTTCACGAGCAAATAGTCGCCGCCGTCAGTTTCTCCCGTACCGTTCACCGCGAACATGCCCATTCCGATAGTCATTGGACGTTCATGGAGAAGCAGCCCTGACTACGGAACATCTTAAGGTTGTTACTGGACGTGGATTGTTTTTTGATTCAAAGTCAATGAATGCTGTGCCCATTTTGGATTATTTGGTGAATTTCCAAACAACCAACATTTCAAAAGAGGGCCTGATTTCACTGTAGCAAAGCGTAGATTAGCTAATGGACTAAATGAAGCGTGATTCTGTTACTTGCAATTGGATAGAAACAAAGTAACTGTATATATAATCATTAAAACTGGTTTATCATGCAGAAAAAGTCGTTCACTGTAATAGCAAGAATGATGAACAACATAATGTACCACCAATGTATGAAACAATTTTTGTTCATATAATGATGGGTGAAAAGCTTTATGTTTATCATGCAATTGGAATAAGTAGTCATCAATACAATATCATTTTTAAAAACCTTGTGTAGAATTACAAATGTTGCATTCTTGAGTTTTGAGAATGATTTTTTTTTCCAAATTCATTTTTGATCATGATAAATAAATATAATGAATTATTTTTCATAGAATAAAGTTTTAAAAATATTTTATTTTTTAAAAAAATATAGTATTATCGAATATTATTTGGTACATGAAATCATAACTTTTATACCAATAGTTATGGATTAATTGTGATGTGTAGTTTTTGTGAATAATGGATAAAACAAAATATGAAACATGGATGAAATCATTCATTACTAATTTATTTACTTTTTTGAAAACAATATTAGCGATATCAAAGTTCTATCATTGATGAAATTACTTGATGGAACACCGTCGTAACACAAATTGCTTGATGGGATCCATCAGGTTTAGTTTACCTGATGGGACTTGTCGACATGACACTTTCAACAAGTTTTAAAAACAGTTTCTATAAAAAACTTGCTACGAATTATAGTGTGGAGAAGTGTTTGCTTGGAAGTTAAAATTTGGTTGAATCTATTTTCTTATTTTATGACCAACTGTGTGTATGACCTTTATGGGTTTCAATTGGATGTGCTCGACTTCTATTCAAATTTTCAAACTGCAGGAAGATGTTTGCTACAAGAATGAGTTATCTCAAATTCCAACTTCTCGCTAAACAAAGAACTTCTGTCGAGCAAATCACTTGGATTATTTGAAGACTATTGCAAATGGTTTGCGTGCAGGGTTTGAACATACAACAAGCTCATCAATGAGTATTATAATTATGTGCTTAGAGCAGTTCGCAACTTTCAAGTACCGGTTGTCGGGGACTTGGTGATCAATTATCCGAGTTTGAGTGGTGCTCTTGAATGTTTTTTCGTTTGCCCAACCAATGCAATTCAAATTTAATATTGGAATCAACATTTGCACTTGCGTTGATCTCAAGATTATTACAAGAATTTCCTGACGGTATGACATAGGTGAAACACTATAGGGTAAAACAAAATGTGATGGGTCCCATCAAGCAATTTTTTCTATTATGGTATCTCATCAAGTAATTTTCTCACCTATCATTCTTAAACATATCAAATGTAAAAAAATAATAGAATTTATACAATACATAATACATGCATTCAAGTTAGAGTAACACAACTCTTTTGACTCTAATCAAATTTACAAATATTAAGTTTGTTTATACATCCATTATATATAATGTCTCCATCAAATCAAATGTATTAATTATATTTTGTAACTTCATCACGTTTGATAAAGCTTTTAAAAAGAGATATTTTTTCTCAAAGTGGCAAATCTACATCATTAGATCAAATCAAGAAATAAAAACATATCAAAAAAGCATATAGATGTTCACTTTTGTCACATATGAAGAAATATAATGTGTTATTGAAATGCATTGATGAAATATCTTACAAGTTGAATATTTTGTCACTTATAAAAAAACACAATATTTTTAGGGGATGATAAATGGACATCACCTTTTTGATATATGGACATCAACCCCTCTGTCTTGTGATTGTGCCACGCGTTTGGTTGGGGGAGTTTGTCCGCAGGTAGGGTCCAGGGGGACTGCCTCTAAAGTTTACCTTGCACTCTCACTAAGCTGGGGCCCAATGCGGAGGCGAGGTGTGAGGGCTGCAGAGGCCTCCTTTGACCTCACCCACCAGACATGCCCCAGAAACTCTCCTTTTCACCCCACGCTCCTACCCTCACCTTAAGTCGCTTCCGCAACGGAGCTCTTGCAACCGGCGCGTATCGCCGTCTCTCGCTTGAGAATTTTGTCCTTCCCATGAATGAGTTGAATCGTCAATCGGAGCACTTTTTGCCCCACAACGTCGTCGCCACCAGCAGCACCCGGCCTTCTGAGAGAGAATCGTTGTTTCGGCACGTGTCATTAGATTGATGCTCTACACCTCTCCCCCTCCTCTGGATATGTACGGGGTGATGTCCATTTATCACAACCCTATTTTTATGTGTCAAATTTGCAAAAATGTTGTATTACAATCAAAATAATTTATCAATCCATCAACATCAAGTTTTCTATTAACCTATAACATCAAAAAAATAAGAAAAGTTCAATCAGAATTGATATACAAACTCTAGAGTTGAAGAATATTTGAAATATTTCTTTTCTTTCTTATATACATCTTTTTAATATGAATCATTTTTTTTCACCACTTTATAGGCTTATTTGTAGCATTACACTATCACTATTTTTTATGATAGTAATTTTTCATCACTATGATAATCTTTGTAGAAATACATTATCATCAATTAGACCATCTTAATAATAGTATTTTGCCAACAATTAAAACAAATTTATAACAGCTTTTTTGTCACTTTTATTTAAGTTGGATTCAGAAATTTTCTTGATCATTTTATTCATATTTGTAGCAACAAATTTTTTTACCAATTTGAGCAACTTAAAATAATTTTTTGAACGCCTTTCACATAATTCTTCGTATCAAGAGTATTCGTATTACATGACAATCAAGTAAAAATGATGAAGTTGATGTTGCTATATTAGCATAAAATAAGCATAATTTACAAAATATCTTATTGTAAATAATGAACATGATCATTTCATTAATGTAATTTTGTTTAAAAAAAATTCAAATAGTCATTTTTATTATAAAAATATATGCATTATTATAAAAAATAGTGACACCTAGCGTATAAAAATATCTAGGACTATTGTTACAAAATAACATGTTTCTAGTCATGTTTTGAAGTACATTATCAATTATTTTTATTGATACAATCAAATATTATACAATTGTATTAATTTTTTAATAGACTAAATAATGATTATGATCCTACTAATCATGACTAATTTTATCTAATAATCAATAAATTTAAATACTAAGTCTATACTTGTCAAAATATAATTAAAGTATATTTTCAAATTTACAAACGAACATCATTTTTAATATATTTATTCACAAAAAAAATTTCAAAATCAAAATAAATTTTGATTGTATTTTTTTTTTGGTTTGATTTAATAGATCAAATTTATTGATTAGAATAAATTTAATATGACTAAGTGACAAAGTGAGGTTACAATATATTTAAAATTCTCAATGACATATCGGCAAAAACAACCAAGTTTTTAAAAGCTCTAAATATGTCAATAACACATATTCATAACATATCAAGAAATAATAAACAAACCAAGATTAATCTTAATTAAAATGAATTAGATAAAAATTTTCATGAATTATCATAATAAGTTTTGAAACTATATAAATAGAAGTATAAAAATCTTGAAAACAAGTTTGAAAATATCTTTATGTGAATAGTTGTTTCATAAAATGAAGTTTTGAATCTCAAAATAACTTGAAACGTAAGATAACTTGATAGATTGTGTTGAATGATGACTGGAGAGATTGTGATATGATATTTAAACATTACATGGAATTGAAACATCAAAATTCATGATGAATTACTCAAATGCCATTACACTTAAATCCTACCGTAAACCCTAAGCTTCTCCTCTTGTTGGTGAGAAGTTCTTCTCACCTTTGCTTGGTTGCCCTCAATATGTGTCAGCCAACCACCTATCCTATTAATTTCATGCTGAATTATATTTGAAGCATTAGGATTAGTTCTGTGGTAGGTTGACACTTATTGAAGGCAACCAAGCATAGATCATAAATCCATGGATCAAGCAAGGTTCCTAAAACTTGAAAAAACTCCTATTAAATGAGAAAGAAACCAAAGGAAAGAATTTCGATGACTCTGAGTGCTGCGAAATGATCTCCAAGCCAAGAAAACTAGTGCTACGAGTAAGAGGTCCCGAGGTCACTAGTGCGGGAGTACAATGCCAGTGAAAGCGCCATTCGAAAGATGTGGGAGAAGTGAAGAATGATCCTGTGACGATCTGCCCTGTTTATCGAAGAAGCTAAGGAGAAGAACTTTTGAGGTTCAGCTTCAAAAATGCTTTACGCTAGTTCTCGAGACCAGAAAGTGGGTTTAGAAAATAGAGTGGTATTTAAGGATAGAAATCCTTGATCTCGAGAACCTGCTGAGTACTTTATGATCAGGTTCTCGACATCGAGTATCAGCAGCTCAACTCTAAAGTTGAAATTGAAGCGGGGGACATATTCCATGATCTTATATTATTTGTTTGAATCAACTCAGAGCAAGATCAGGACTATAATCCTCAAAGCCAAACGCAAAAAGCTTCAAAACTTGCGCCAAACTACAAATCATCACATGTTCAACAAATATATCTCGTGTCTAAACTTTCAAGGAAAAATATGTGTACTCAAACGGGTGCATACTTAAGCCTGAGGCTACCGTAGTTGATTATAAACCATCACTGTTTCTCCGTCTAAATTCCTCTTTACTGTGACCAGATATAATCAGGAACTAGCACGACGTTCTATTGGATCGGACTGACATTCACATCAAGTGGCCATATGACTGGTAAGGAAAAACTTTGCAGATGAGTCTCCTGTTCTGCAGCATGATACTGTCTGTTTGTAACACTCATCGTGCATGGAAATGTTTTGGGATGTGACTGCACTTTGATTGCCTGCGCGTTTATGGCGGCGCAGGACTTGCATCTGTGATCGAGTAACGAACGGCAGCTCGCGGGTAGTTTGCGGTTTGCGGTTGGTGATGAATCCGTCAACTACCGCCGGATTCCAACTGGAGATTTGGAGAATGTTAGAATCTTCTCAGATTCCGGGATTCGAACGCTGGGAGGTGTGAAGAGATTCTCGACGAGTGTTCCATGCTCACTCCAGTGAAGCAGCTCTGAGAATCTGCAACGAATTGAGGAGCAGTCAGTGGCTTTGAAATTAAAGCAGCTGCAAAGTTAGCTCACAATTAGTAGTCTCGAAATCAGTACAGGGAATTCGCCTCCTCGTGCCATAGGCTGGATGGGAGCGAGCTCATCCCGTGATAAGATTCATTGATGGCAGGTGATGAGATTTATTTTTGTTCTGTTAGCAGGCAACGTTGTACATGGTGGGTATATGAACACAGCTTGACTTGACCGACATTTCTGGCAGCAGCAGAGGGCAGACGAGATGGCTCAAAGGGGATACCAGAAATTCAAATCTCAGCATGTAAGCCCTATGAAATGGGCTTCACTATCGGCATACACTTTGAGGCGATGATTCGGAGCAGAGTGGCCTGCGATCCTTATCTATCCTCGAGCTTGCAGCCATTCGCCAACACAAAGCAGGGGCAGCACCTCGTGCACCTGCTGTCTAAAACCAACAGGTATTTATGTAACCCAGACATGATTAGGCGGTTGTGTGTTAGCCCAGTCTCCTCTGAATCGTCAGCTGCTTACAGCTAGAAAGATGTGATGGTATCGATTCCATGTTGGTTTTCATCTTGATCAATGAAACCCGTATCAGGTTGTGGCTGAGCTCACCCATTTATGGTACCAGGGTCCTCCTGTGACCACATTTTATTATGTTGCGATTTGGTTAATTAATTGTGGAGTCTAAAATGGTGTTCGCAGCGAACGTTATCCAGAATATTGGGACGAGCTTCGTGGTCTGGCAGATGGTAGCGGAGTTCCGTTTCTCTCGGTAAGCGTTATTCTTGTTCACTGAAAGCTGAGCATTTCAGGGATCACGGACTTGCCATGGCTTTGCTCATCTGCTTTTCATTGACTGGACGTTGCAGATTATTCTCATGAACTTCCGAAAAGAAATATCTCCCTTCCTTCCAGACGTCAGGGTCAGCAACATTGTGGGAGCACCCGACCAATGCTCAGATATCCTGATTTGCAGCGACGAGCTCGCGGTGATGGCTCACAATGAGGACGGAGACGCGTCACTCAGAAATCACGTGTAAGTGTATGTCCTAGAGCTTCATATGTCAGTTAGTATGGTAAGTGTCAGAATGTCGCTTTGATGGAAACTAAAAGGGATAGAAATGCTGTAATGGGATATTTTTGCTGGCTCCCGAACGATGCGACTGAGGGAGTTGTTTAGTGAGTGGCTTCTACTTGCCAGAGCAATTTTTGAGGCCTTTTGGTATTTTCGTGTGTTTGGTATCCAGATACATTGTAAATGCCACTTTGGAAAATGGGGTTTCATTCTTTGCCTACACTTGTGCTGGGGAATTGCCAAGCTGCTGCTTTGGATTCAACAGTAACGGAGTGGTATGGCACTTCACACTCTACTTGATCAGTTTCATGCAGGTTGCTCCCGCCAGTAGAAGCGGAGTTTTCCCTTTCGACAGTTTTTTTCGAATGGAGATTCGACATAAATATGTGAAGAGACCAACGTTTTTGCTGTTGAAATGGTTCAGGCTTTCACCCTTGATTCAGTTCCCCCGGCTCCCGAGGAGGTGGTACCAGGTGGCATAGGGCGCAATTTTGTATCCAGAGATCTTCTTGAATCGAGTGACATTCATGATGCATTGCGAGTACATCACATCCGATCCACTTTCGTCTCTTTCAGATCTTGCAAACCTCCATGCGTAGTTTCCTCTACGAGGTGATCTCGTAGAGGACACCTCAGTATTCCTTTTGCTGTATTCTGCTCTTATCAAGGACTTCAGGTTTTACATTTGATTTCTCTGGCTGCCTGATTAGCCCTAAAAATAAAATTGAACAAAGTTCATGTGTTCTTCATCTGCAGCGAGTTCAAATAGAGAATCTGTCAGCTGGTCACAATTACAACATCATGGACGTGAACTCGCGAAAAATGTTCACTACAGAGACTGCATCAAGAGGAAGGGCATCTGTACGAGAAATTAACAGAGATGCATTTTACCACGCCAATATGTATCAACACCTGTCAGCAGTCAAGCAGGTTGGATGTCAACCTTCGATACTACATTGCCGGATTTCCAAACGTAATTCACTCCTAGAGGTGCAGTAGAAAGTCTCTCATCTTGTGCACTTGGAGGGCGTGGGTTAGTCAGACTTGAAGGCAGGGTCTAGTATATCCACCTGAGCACGGTTGGATAGAAAGAGCGATATTTGTGGTAGCATAGTAGCATCGTTTAAAGATCAGATAAGGTGGTGGCGCGATGGATTGCTATGCGCATCTGATGAACCATCATCTTGTGCTTCTCAGATTGTCCACCAAAGTTCAGTTTGTCGACAGAAGCGGGTGGCAGAACTTCCGATGAACACCTTGCAGGAAGTGCTAACGATTTTGGCTGACGATAGTAATCAGGACTTTCCTGTGTACATGCAAGGTACTATCTTAACTAGTGTTGTTGGCAGAATCGATCTCATCGCATTGCTTCGCTTCCAGACTCTTTATATCAAATCTCATTTTATCCAGTCTTCTCTTAAAGACAACTATCATGTCTTGTTTGGTCCTTTCCTTGTTGCAGCGGTTTGTTGTAACTGAGGACGAAGATGAGTTCAAGGCGTAAGATGATTTCGTTATGGTTCTGACTTACACACACAACTTTTCTCTGTGACATGCAGGTCCACAACTTCATACCTTGTGCACCGCGATTTTTGATATGAACGAGAAGAGTCTGACCATTCTGACAGGAAAGCCTTCCTCTATGTCAGTGCTCCGGCGGGTACTCATGACGACCTGGACAGCGAAAGAGGAATAAGAAGGCCACCTTCCTTTTGTTCTCAGCACTTGCTTAAACAATTGGAAGATATTTTTGCAACCCACTTGTAATGTTTTCAACGTGCTGGTTTGCTGTACAATCGCTCTCAGCACGAGTATGGCGTCCGAAGGTGTTCCCTGTAGAACTTTTAGTGTATTCTGATGTTTTTCGCATGATGTGATTGTTCATTCGTCATCCTCCATAGCTGGCATCAAATCCTGGTGATAGACGAAACTTGCGTCATCCCACATTGCACATGTCTCTACAAAGAAAAGGTCCTGTTCTGCTGCAATTTTCACATAATCTAAGATTGGTCTGTAACACATATTCCATGAGAACACATACAGTGAGAACCATGATCACTTTAAAACTATATGTTGTCATACCGATAAGGATACAATGAATAAAAAGTTGAAGTTGTCATTGATTAAGGGGATAATCCATTGTTTCACCGAAGAAACCAAGCTATACTTCGAATCTGGCGAAGTTAGAGATGAGGTTCTTTGACGGCAGTCAGTCACGCTTCTTTGCCGAAAGTGGACCAAGACACAGAACCCTCGTGTACTACCCAGGATCATTATTCTGCGGCATAACCTTTTAACTGACCAGAGAGACAGTCGAAGAGATTATGATTACCAAAGGCCCCGTATCTGCATCGGCCGCAGAACACAAGAAAAATTCGGATTTAAACTTTTTCATTTTGAGGGAAACATCCGGAATGGTAACAGGTGAATTTCACAACTCCCCGGATGTTGGTATGAAGAACTAATGTAGACATTTGGACTTACCCCGGAAAGCTTTCAGTTGGAAGTCAATCGTCACGTTTTCTTCTCATCTCCAGCGGTCTGGCCATGAAGATCAAACAGATCCAACGTTGAGTCCAACCTTCGGAATGCTCTATCTCACTTTTCAACGTTCGAAACATGGACACATTTCCAGTTCGACAGCCGAGGCTCGTGACAATCTGACTTGAACATTCAGTGGATCTAACTGAGTCTATATAGAGACAGAATGTGAAAACAGAATGTAGGGAACACGAAATGAGACTTTGGGAACGAACTTCAACGCTCAATCGTTCGACAGGACAGCTTTGAAGACATCGAATTCTTCTAGTTACATTCTATCGGTTCTTTGTCACGAGTGGATTTTCAAATGCGTTGAACGAGACTTTTTCCCACCGTGTGACGGTCTCATTTTGTGCTTTTCAGAGCGCAAGAGCTGTATTCCATGGATTTATAGGATTCGAGCCCTCCTCCTCCGAAGATTTTATAATAAATTTGGAGGAATTTATTGATAAGTCATTACGTTTATTTCATTCCCTCTTTTCATCGTCCACCTCTTCTCCAGACAAAGTTAAACGATCTGGGCCATTGTTAGCTAACGTTGCATCGAAGGTTGAAGCGCAGTCAAAGCTTCGGAAGGATGCTTGGAATTAACGATTTGACTTTAAATAGTTTGCTCGAGACTCTCAAGAGATTTTCTGTAAACTTCATCCAGAAGGAAGAATATCTGATTTTGTGCTTAAGGAGTTGCCACTAAATCATGAGTGTCAGCATTCCTCACCATGCTAATACGACTGTTCACAAACGTTTAGCTCGGGCAAAGGTTGAAGGTCAGCAATCTTTCCAGCAAACTGTGTTTGATGCGTACAGAGCTTGTGATCAACTTCACTAACCTTCATTCGAACAACTCATAAATTTCTAAAAAAAAAAAAACACTTCTTTACAAATTCCCTGTTCTCTGCTATGTCTTGAAGGCTACGTCTCCTTACATGACTTCACATATGTAAGACGACTATGAAGCATGTGCACATGTGGAGGGATGTATCAGTGAAGTTATTCGAAATCACAACTTACATTGGATCTAAAGTCTCCATTTAACAATGCATAGCTGATTACACATGTTCATTTCGAAATCATAGCTACATTCGTGGAGAATGTAAAGATTTTCACTCTCTACTTTTAGTTAGACACGCGTTTTTTAAAAACACTTTTAGACAATTATTGGCATCCTTGAGCTTTTTAAAACTTTTGACCTTCAACATGAAAGGCTAATAGAGCCAATGTGTACATTTGAAGAAACAGATTTGATGATGTGTTTGATTTACCTACTTCTGAGCTTAGAACTTAATCCAAACGTAAGGAAGTGTGGGGAGCTTTGCAAATTGAAGTTTTTTTGGTTTCTATAATCTTTGAACCGATATCCTAAAAAAACCCGCGTTTAGTCATTTCAATTGTGTGTGTTTTTTAAAAATGTACGAATCTTTTAGAATTACAATATGACATAAGAATATAGAATAAATTAAGTTTTTATCTTTTTCATTCAAGGTTTTAAAAACAAAAAAGTTATCAAGTTTTATTTTTTTTCTTGTTCTGCCGATCTTTTTGTTTTATGTTGTATTTTCCGACCACGATTTGTTGAGGTCACCGCAGTGTGTACTTTATTCACTGATGAAATTGCTAGCATTTGAATGCACCGCATAGTACATTGGTCTGTAGATATGCATTGTTCTTTCAAGAATAAAATAACAGGTACTAATATTATGACTGATTATGGATTTTAATACGAAGATAATAAGACTTTTCAATTTGGAAATGTGTATCGTCCAGTGGAGATGAGGAGAAACAGATGACGTAAAGATGTAGAAGAAGCAATTTCACTTCACACAATCTTTTCTACAGTTGCAAGAAAGAGTCAATAACAAGGACGTGGTAGGTGCATTTACTTTTCTTTCACCAACTCAAATGCCTTCTCATTTCGCTCTCTTTTTGAGTGGGGCTCAAAGGCGGTAGAACTTTCGTGCAGTATGGATGGTACAGGAAAACAGATTGCTGGCATGTGTCGAATCTCGTGTGTCCAACTTCCTGCAAACAAGCTTGAGTGTCAATTATGAGATTCTTCATTTTCTGATATGTGGTATATGATTGATTGTAGTGAAACTTTTAAGTGCAAGCTTGAAACCTTTTCATTTTGGCTAGCATTGCTCGTGTACAATGTGTTTCTACAGCTCAATGTGAAAGAATTATTCAGTATTCAATTCTTTGTAACCATACGTATCAACACTGTCTTCATACCTTGAACTTGGATGTGTTTGTGCGTTTATATTTTGCAAGGCGAGGTTGAAAATGCCTTCTGTGATGCTATTGAAATCTGGAAAGTTTCAGTGCAGAGTCGTCGTTTCATTAAAACCGTTCAAGCTTACATGTCTGTCTCAGAAATTCAATGAACAGGTAATAAAAAACTGTAAATATCAGAGAGTCTACATTAGGTTTTGGTGTCCTCAATCGGTAAGCTATGCTTGAATGCAGGTTCAACTCTTGTTCGAGAAGTTTAAATAGTTTATTACGAATTCGTACAAAGTCCTCAGTTAGTACATTGTGGTCATGATGAGTAAACAGTGTTGTTGATTATGCATGCTCTATATATGATGGCTCTTTTTCTAATAATTTACTTGTTTCCGATCAAAAGTCAAATGTTCTGTCTATGATCAGTAATAGGTACCGGCCTGCTCTGCAAACGCATTTGATGTACAGAAGGATCGGAGTTAATTCTGTGACCATCAATCTGACTCTTACTATCAAGCTGTAGGGGGGAAGAAATGTCTACTTCGGTTTAAGTGGGCGAATGTTTCTTCGATCCGGTGCAGAAGCAGAGGTGCAGAAAGAATTCAGGACATTGAGGACACTCCTAGCGCTGCATAGGATGAAAATCAATGTACTTGACCGTACGTATATTCCTGGAGATTCATGCCTTGCAAGTGAGGCAACCGGGTGGGATACAGGTCCAAATCTGCTCACATGCAGCAACACGTCCAAACGCAGGCAGCTCTTGCAAAGAAAACAATCACAGAAGCCTCGACCTGAAGCACAAAACTCGGCCTAATGCGTCTTGATAAATGGGAAAGGACACCATTCGCTCATTCTCGTCTTCCTGTTCTCGTCAGGTCGACGAAGCTCTACGGCCTTCGAGCGGTGACAAGGAATTTCTGAGTCGATAATGAGCATTTCTGAGAAGCTGATTCCATGTTTGGGGTTGATTCATCGCATTATTTTTTGGTCTCACAGAGCTCGGCTTCATGCGTGAAGGACTGATTTCAAGATTAATTTAGTGTGAGATACAATGATCTCACAGAATTTCCGGATGAGAAACTAACAATTTCTACTACTTGCTGATATGACTTCTGAATAATAGATGCGTTCACTTTGTACTAATTGCAATGCGAGAGCAGTGTATGGTTTTTCGAACACTGAGCCATAGAATTTCCTGAATTGATAAAACTTGATTAAAGACAATTTTTTTCAAAAAATCATGAAAACCAGTCAAATATTTTTTATTTTTTAATCATAAAATTTTATAAATATATCAATAATCTAACATCAATAATCTTCAAATTTATTAATGAAAGCCCTTATCGTTATTAAAATACTCTACTATGCCTTTAATCTTGAAATTACATCAAGTAATCATATCAAGTCTTGCAATTGAATAAATAACATAGAATTTACAAGTATAGAAACAATAAGATTTGACTCAAATGCAAGTGGATTTTTTAAACCTAATCATGTATTTGTTTAAGATAAATTTTATCTTTAAAATTCTTTGGAAATATATACAGTTATGAAATAATTTTAACATAGAGATAATAAATGCAAAGAAGTAATTTACAACATGTTATAATGAGATGAGTAAAAAACTAGAAACATTTGAGTTATTATTGAGATCATGATGGATAATAAAGTTGTTAGTATTTATATATTGATACTTTAAATCAAATTTAAATAAAACAAGGAAAAAACAATCTAATCAAAAACATTCTAGTGTTAAAAGTGATCATAAATCATAACATATTTTTAAAAATAAAATACATGTTAAATATTTTTTATATATATTATATATTTTTTCAAAATATGTAATATTATCAAATTTCATATATTTATATGCATCAACCATACTCAAGACTTACCACCATGTTTAGGTGTATGTAGTATAAGAACTCTATTTGTCTTTTGAAGATAAAAAACGATGGACAAGTTTGAAATTAACCAAATCAATACTTGGACTCAAATCCATTCTAAAATTCAGTCTTCATTTCTAAATTGTGAAGAATCTTTGGTCTAACAATTGACGAAGCTATACTCTAGATCCCAGTCACCATTTAGTGCAGGATTAGAAATTGAAAAATGGAAATTAATTGTGAATTCTTTTTTCTAAAGATAAGTACTTGACGGTATTCATCCGTAACGCAAAACACTTGCGAAGATACCATACAATTCACTTTACTTGATAGAAATACTCTGACTACACTATAAACATC